TGTTTCTAGGTACCAAACCACATTGGTTTTTGCACGCATGGCGCAGCGGAGCTTTGACGGCCGGAAGCCAAGAAGCTCGAAGACTGTTTTACATGTGGCTGTGACTTCAACAGTGGTGAATTTTGCCTGGTACTTGCATGTGACATGTTGTACTTTCCGCATATACATGTATGACACCGGACAAAATCATTGCATGGTTAAGAAGTAGCCTAGCAATTGCCTGAACTTATGCACCAATGTAATGGTCAGCAGTGGTCTCAGTTCTCAACTTCTCCCTTCTTAGCCGGTTCCATGCGAGGACCCGGGCAACAGCATAGCTTACAAGATAGTGGACGTGTCATGAGTTTTTGATGCGCCCGCTGTGTACGAATGACCAGTTTATGCATAGTCCATGGTTATTTACGATACATTGGCAAAATGTTCAGTAAGTACACACGATCCAGCCATACATGATGTTCCACGGCATGGTTGACGATTCCATTTGTATTACGGGTAAAGTTACATGTACTGAGTTGTATCATGGTTGTACATACATGTTGCAGATTTAGTAGATTCCCATCATAGCACTCTCAAGGGGACGTAACAGAATTGAACGTTATAACTGCACAGTGCTATAACCGACTGAATGTACGCGCTGTACCTCTATGTACATGTACATATGTACATATACATGTATTCACATGTATGTCATGTATGTGAATTTTGTTTACATATACATGTATTGGCAGATGTATGTACCGTAATTTTCGGAGTACATATATGCTTTTATCCGTCTATCTTGATGTTTTCGTGACACACCAAAAAAAAAAAAATTGTCTTCAAAAACTGCCATACAGTACATTGCGATTGAAAGTTAACACCAAAATGGGAAAATATTTTCACATTTTTTCTCTTCCCAGGGAATTCCTTTTCATTTCACAAATTGTGAAAAAGTGTGCCAAAAGTGGGAAAATATTTTCATACCTTTTCACACAAGTGGGAAAATATTTTCACAGATTTTCCCCCCAGTGGCAAAAGATTTTCATGCTTTTTCCCACAAATGGGAAAAGATTTTTACAGATTTTTACACAAGTGAGAAAAGATTTTCACACTTTTTCTCACAAGTGGTAAAAGACTTTCACAGATTTTCTGTGGTAGTGGGGAAATAATTTTGTCAGCTTTCTTCATTTAGTAGTATTTGTACATGTACAAATGTAGACATCAGGAAGTTTTTGTTCTATGTGGTTTTAAACATGCGCACCTCTGAATATGGAAAGTGGAGGAAAATCAGTCTGAGATAAAAGTTCTTCAATTCTCAGGAATATTCAGATTACTTGAAGAAGACAGCATTAAAATATCAATGCAGTGTGTTTCTCGGTTTTGAGCAAAATACAGTGTGACAGGCGAAATCAAAGCTGGCCAAATCAAGACCAACACTGAACACCGAACAGCTGAATTACAGTAGATTCCTGTTATAGCTCTCTCTTACATGTACATGTACATGCATATAACCCACTTGGACGGATGCTCAACATGTGCATCGCATATGTGCACATATCGGCTACAGATACATGTACATGTACAAGTATCCACATCTTGTCATGTATGTGAATTACGTTTACATGTATTGGCAGATGTACATGTATGTAAAGTGATTTTGGAATAAATGCCTTGTATCCGGTTAGGTATCTCGACGTTTTTCTGACGCCAATAAAAAATATCACTAAATCTCTTCAAAAACCGCCACGGGACCTTGTGCAAGCCGCACCACATCGCAAAGCACACAATGCATCTATACTTATCCCGACATCCAGACTGCTACTACATGCCCATTCATGGACAGACTGACTTTTTCCAATAACCATGTGACCACAGAAAGTGACATGTCATCAGAAACCCAAGTGAAAAAAGACCCAATATGTCACACCAAACACTATCGGCGAAAAGACAGGATTTTCTACATGTACATGAAGATACATGTACAATTTAAGCAGATGAATTTTTTCATCGATCAAAAGAAACCTTTCAGTAACAAAATACTACATGTAATATTTCAATGTTGATTTTTTTTGTGCCAAACTACACACCACAAGAATAAATAAAAGTAGGCAAATAACCCATGTCGCCACAGCAGAGCAAGTTAAACTTAATCATGTGCTTCATGACTTGATGACTCGTGGACTCCCATTTAATTACTCAAAATCCAGACAACTTTTTAAAAATTTATTCTCTGACATTGACAAGTGTTTATTTATGGTAATCCAAGAAAACAACTACGCTACAGGGGTGCGGCTTGCCGTGGTCAGCACGTCCCTACGATCTCGCAGCATGGACCGGATGGCTCGGCCGAGGAAATCGCTACAAGACATCAGCACACTCCGCCTGGTGAGTTGGCCCAGAACGGACCGGCCCAAAGCGCAGCACAGCTTGTGTAATGGACTCTTCACTGCATGATAGTCGTGTGCATGTGGCCAGTGTGGAGTATTTTGCTGCACAATGCCTCTCATTTTGGCAAATTTCCGCATAATTTTCAGAACCCTTCCCACTGCTTTCGCAAAATTTTCACACTGTTTTCGCAAAAGATTCACACCGTTTTCGTACGATTTTTGCACTGTTTTCACACATCACATGCCCCTTTCACATCCGATGCGCTTCGAATTTGCAGGGGGGGGGAAAAGTTGTGGTCAAAATGTGAAATGCGAATGTGAATGTGAATTCCTTTCGCATTTTTCCCATTCCTTTTTGCAGCGTTAACTTTCAAATGCAATGTACTGTAGGTCCTCATGAATGCTGCATTGCGGCACACGCACTGCATCTACACCCACTGCGACATCCTGACTGCTACTGCGTATCCCCATTCATGGACAGTCCAATCTCTGACTTTTCCTAATGACCATGTGACCACAGAAAGTGCATTAGAAGACCCAAGTGAAAACGGATCCGACATGCCACGTTGAGCACGATAGGCAAAAAGACGAGATTTGCTACACCGTGGAGGAAGGAAGGGGAGGCTACACAAAGATACAGTCGACTCTCGTTAAAACGAGGGCCTTGGGACTTTCTAAATTAGCTTGTATTATCCAGACCTTGTTTTACGAGAAAGCTGCTGTCCCACTTGTCGCATGTGTAACCGATCGACCGCATCGTTAAGCATACATCATGTACAACTTCCTGTACATACATGTAGGCCTACATGTACTTTGTATGCACATACGTGTGGTTTGGAATTTAATTTCAAAACAGTTTATCTTTATGAAAGTGAGAAGTAAATGTACTTTTTATGAATAAAGACTTGAATTAAAGAACAATAACATAATACAAGAACGGAGAAACCGGTCGAGTCGAGTTGGAGGCTGCATGGTTGGAGCGATGCCGTTTACGTCCCCAGCACGCCGCGATGAGATTGTCATACAACGCAGCACGTAAGTACATTAACATTTTAGGTGGTAACCAACATCAGTTCTGCGTTTGTGGCACAAAAAGGGCGGGAACCAGTTATTGGTGGTGGGGATCGGCCAGTTAATAAATTATTGAGTATAGTAGGTTTTAATTTGAAACAGCTCGTGGGTTTGGTGAAAATTACGGAAGTTGCCTTCAAAACAGCTTGTGCTAATTAGACGGATAACAATATATTTGCAGGCAGCTGGGGCCCCAAAAATGCTCGTTTTAAACGGAATCTCGTAACACGCAAGCTCATATTATGGAATGTGCATAATTCAGTCAGGACTAGCAAATATACTCGTCTTAACCGGCGTCTCATCTTATCCGAGCTCTTATTACTGAGAGTTGACTGTACACGTACAATTAAGCGGCTGATTTTATTTATCGATGGACAGAAACCATTAAGTAACAAAATACAACATGAAGTATTTCAATGTTGATTACTGCATCCCAAACTACACCACGAGAATAAATAAAAAGTGTGAAAATAATCACTGCAATGCCTCCACAGCAAAGCCATGCGGCCACGGCTCACCGTGGTGAGCACGTCCTCACGATCGCGCTGCATGGACGGCAAGCCCCATGGCCCGGCCCAGTGCGTGTCTGCACTCTGTGTGATCCCTAAACTACTGGTGTCCAGGATTGACCGGCCAATCGTTTCATGGGTCGATTTTCAAAGAATCTGATTTTCCAGGGTAAAGAGTGCTGTAACCGGAATCAGTTTACATGCTTTATATGGTTCTGGGGGCCAAAAATTGTGAGCGTTATATCCTGAAAAGGGTTGTAAAAGAGAGTGCTATAACAGCATAAAAATGTACACAGTGAATGGGTGTACAGTTGGAGAAATTGAAAATGATTGATATATCAGTAAGAGTAACATGTCCATGTACATCAGGGAGCGCTACAACGGGAATCTACTGTACTCACCGTGGATAATCTTAAAGCCCATGAAAGGCCAAAACCCAGTATGGCAGCGACAGATTTTTAATGTGTGTTATTAAACCTGATGGTTTTCTTTATATCTTTGGGAGCTGGTTCTAACTCAGAATCGTGGTCCTTAGTTGGAGCCTGAACCGGCTCTGAGAATTCTGGAACTGCCCAACACTATCAACACAACGCATCACGGGTAGGTCACACCCAAGCCTGTATATGATGCACTAGCATTAAATCTGATGCTGTCAATACTCAAGTTCCTATACCTCAGTACACGAAGTTTTAAGGATGCAGATTACCATCACGAATTGCGGCGGTGGTCATGTGATACAAAGGGGTTTTGTTTTGTGGTTGTGAAACAAATGGTGCATACCAAGCACTCACTGCGCTCTGGCTATGGACATACCAGGCATGCCAGAGAGAGGTAATTGGCCAGATGTTACAGCCTGGGCAGTTCAAACTCCTTCTGTGTCCTTCCTCTATGGTATAATAATGATTTTTTTTTAATTGAAAAGCCATTTTTGGGCCTTGTGAACTTGAAGAGCAGCTCTGAAAATGAAACAATAGACAAGTCCAATTTTTCTATGGCAATTTATATTTTACTGCAAAGCCAAAATTATTGTTTAATGGTGAAAAAGAACATTTACCTTCGTCCTTGTAATCTGCTTCACCATGGTGACGCCTCTGCATAGAAAATAACAAACAGCATCCCTTTAGATGTCATTTCTTGTCATTTTAAACTCATCTTCGCTTCTCTGTGATGTACCAGTAGATTGTAAGGTCCAAAGTAATGGGAAATGCACGTCAATGTTGCAAGTCTACCATCTGTCTGAAGTAATATGCGGTGGAAATGGATTTCAAGAAGGTTAACAGTGACATTGTGGATGGCTAAAATGTGCATTTCATACTTTAAAAATTTTCTAATTTGGAATCAGTGTCCTATTAGCGATCCTAAACCATGCAAATTTGTTAAAGGTGGAGAACAGTGCTCCGCATGCAGAACCTATCTTGTTTAGTAGTGGGGGACGGTCTGGCACACTTTGACCTTTGGGTTAGAAATATAAAATGGTCACATTAATAATATGATCAAAAAGATATGAATAGGATTGAAGTGGATGGTGAAAAATCAAAGGGTCGACATGAATGTTATTTCTGCAGTCAAGCCCTATGCTTGTCATCAGTATGACAAATGCTTTGGACGGAAGTCTAATCTGGAGAGATGCATAGAAAATATCCTCACTGAAGAAGAATCAGACATGAATGAAGTTGGCAATGATTTGGAAACTGTTGAGGTTGATGACGAAACCTCAGATGAATTGGAAGACAATGCCACCTACATGTACCAAGATTGGCTGGCTGAAGCCAGAGAAACAAATAGGGAGATGTGGCATGAAGGCATGGATGAAGATCAAGCCAGGCAAAAGGCAAAAAGAAAGACCCTCTGGACAGTCAAGCAAGATTTCTTCGACACCTATAAAGAGTTTCTCTCAAATTTCCTACATTTGAAGGATAATGAAACTCACCAGGACATTGTGGATGATCTCGAAGAAAAACGTTTTCCGAAATAACTCATTTGTTTCTGTTTCCTCAGTTCACATTCACAAGACGAATAATCGCCCAAAATAATAAGTCGTGTTTTCCTCACTCTTGAAAAATTCGGGAATATAAGTCACATTTAGAACTAAATCTTCAACTTTCACAGTATACAATTGATAGATATTTTTCACCACTATAATACCAGTATTAGCTAATCTCTGTTTTAAAATTAGGATGGAGCACTGCTTATTATGCATCTTTGTTTTTTACAGATATGGGATCTAGAAGATTGTCGTATTAAATTGAGGCATTTAAAAGTAGCGTTAATGTTGCCAGATAGAAAGTCAGTTTGTACCCTCAAGTACAAACAACTTTGTGAAAGATCACAGTGTGGTCACTGAGGTAAATCTCTCATATCAACATTCAGGGAGCGGCGACAGCCGTGAGGTCGGAAGTATATACAATGTATTACATCACCAGAATTGGGGCTGCGGAGCACATGCTTGTTTTAGCTCGATTGCAACTGTTACACTTCGGTCTAGCTTCGCTTGAGTCAGTCAATGGAGACATGCCATGCTCTACAAGCCACAGGATATATGCACATTTCCAGCAGTTCGAGCTAGCTCCACATGTTGAGCAAAAAGTCTGTTTGCAAGCCACAGAATGGGCAAACGAGGTAGGCCAAGAAAAACTGTTTACCCCATCTCCAAGTGGGCTAAACGAGCAGTGGGCCAACAGTCAAAAATATCTTCAGGAATCTCACCACCCGAGTTGGGGGAAAGGGCAAACAGACGTACAATTACTACCAGCAGGGAATTGTTGGGAATGAGTTGGAGTGCAGTTGGCCCACCCTTGGCTACAGTGCCATCAAGCCAGTCAGTCAATATTAGAGGAGGCACCGGGACAGGGATCAGGAACGCTGGTGCAGTAGGCCTTCCCTCAGCCCCAGTACCTTTGGTCCAGTCAGCCGACAATGGAAGAAGTGTCGGGACAGGGTTCATAAATGCTGGAGCTGTTGCTTCAGCATCAAGGAGGTTACTACTATCAGTCAGCGGCACGGACAGTGCTGGAGCAGTGATCATGAATGTATCACCCATCGCTACCTTGTCCATGAATCAACCCCCTTCTGTAGGCAGCAGAGGAAATGCTGGAGTAGTGACCAAAGAGGTGGCTTTGAGCTGCGCAGGCACTGTGTCAACGAGCCATCTTCCATCAGTCAGCGGCATGGGAAGTGCTGGGGCGGCAAACGTGGAGGCAACACCCGTCACCATCACGCAAGCGAGACGGGTGGACAGACCCCAGTATCTTTGGGTTTTAATCCCAATAGCTATTTAGTAGGGCAGAGTTCGGGTAAACTTTGAGGTGGAAAGAGGTGTCAATACCGGCAGTAATATCGGGGTGCACAGTGGCAATAACAGCAATACAACACCACAACTCTTCCCATGGCTAACAGAGTTGTTGCCCGCTAGCAGGGCCCAAGGCAGTCAGATTGAACCCACTCCAGTTTGGTCAATGTTCCAGCCCCTTTAGACGTGCCAACTGTACATGATCGGGCCTTCCCTCCCACACCTCTCTCCCCTCACACAGAATTTTAGGTTCGCCAGTCCCTTAAAACATTAAAGAGAAAATTTGGAAAGAGGAATGTCGATTGAGAGTGTTGATTAACAACAGCACGTACGGGTCAAGTTTATGTAACTTAAACACAGTATCAGCAACATCTAGCACTGTCCAGGTTGACCTGGCATACATGTAGGTTCAGAGCAGTCGAAACATTCTATTAAAGCCAGCCAAATCCAAGTGGAAGACTGGTCCATAGAGGCCTGGACCGATGCCTTTTTGGTTTTCAGCAGCATCTATTTACAAGCAAAGCCAGACCATGTGCTAGCACTGCAGAAATATTGCAGGATTGTTAGATCAGCTGCAAGTAAATATGCGTGTTTTGGTTGGCGCAAGTATAATACTGAATTCAGATCACGGATGCAAGGAGGTAACAAATCTTGGGAGGTGATAAATGGAGAGCTATGGTTGCTGTGCGTGGTGGGGGGAGGTCAACTCAAAAGCACCCAAAGCAGAAGGGGGCAAAGTCGTCAATCTTAAGGCAGTGCACACAAGCCTATGATTCAAAAAGTGGCCCAAACGACACTTGGAGAATCACACAAATCAGCCGGTGGGGGCAGTGCTATGAGCTCAATTACAAAGGGGAATGCACGAGAGCTGTGTGTAAGTTTTGTTATTGCTGCACCCTATGCGGTGCAGCAGGGCATGGAAAAGTGGCCTGCACTCGAAATAGAGCAAACTCCTCTAATCAAGTCAGGAGGAACAAAGGACAAAACCCCCAAGCTAGAAACGAGACCAAAATGTAAACCTTGCACACCATCGCAATCTGAAACAGTTCAGTCGATTATTAGCCCAAAAGATTTGTTATCTTTTTAACTGATGCACCGCTAAGAACACACAATTTAATGCCACTCCTCAGTTTGAAACCCCATAGAAAGGCAGCAGAATTCTTAGCGAGGGGTTTTACAGAAGGATTTTCACTCGGCTATCATGATCCCCGCCTCCCGGTAAAATTTCACAACTTAGAATCGGTGATATCAAACCCCATCATTGCACAAAGTAAAATAGATAAAGTGTCATAGGTAGAATTGCAGGGCCATTTTCCGACAAGCCATTGGCAAATCTGCAATCGAAATTCTCCCAGGGTGCTTTGGTGCCAAAGCGGATATTAAGTCCGCTACTAGACTAATGCCAATTGCCAAAGGGGACTTTGATCTCCTAGGCATGAAACTTGACGGCAAGTATCATGTGGATAAATGCTTGCCCATGGGAGTGAGAGGTGCTCCAGCATATTTTGAAATGTTCTCCTCCTTCACACAATTTTTGGTCAGGAGAAACACAGGTTCAGAGGGTACTGTGAATTACATGGATGATTTCCTGTGCATAGGCCAGAGTTCAGGCAGTTAGAATGCAACTTCTTGCCGGTCAATCTTGATCGAGCTCAAAGCTATTTTCTGGGGGTCCCATTAGCACTGGAGAAATCCGAGGGCCCCGTCAGTAAGCTCACTTACTTTACATGTACATGTAGGTCTGGAAATTGACACAACCTGCATACAAATTAGGGAACCAGCAGAGAAGCTAAAGAAAATTAGGCAGGCAGTTAGGAGGGCATTGGGGTCCACCCCAATACAATACCTAGTTGGGTCAATGAATTTCAGTTGTCGGGCAGTTAAATCAGGTAGGGCCTTTCTAACGTTATTGCTGACTCATTGTCTCTTTTACAGTTTTCCAAGTTCAGGCTGGTGGCTCCACATGCAGAGCAGCAGTGTTGCCAGATTCCCTCTGGAAGATTTAGCTCATGAGGCTCACAGGCTGCTTTCTTTGTCATTAGCACCAGGCACAAAAGACGCCTACCAATGGGCCACAGATACATTTCAAGACTTCCGCAGTGGTGCAGGCTATGACACCTCATGGCTGGCCACAATGCGCCATATCCTGGCCTTTATCGCAGCACTGTCTATAAAAGGATTAGCCTCATCAACACTTGCATTGCACGTGGCAGCTGTCTCTTTTGCACTAGGACACTACCCATCACTTTCTCATAAAAAAAAGATACAAGAGGACAATAGAAGACAGACTGGGGCATCGAACACTAGGTGCCCCATCACGTGGAATATTTTACGTCAAATTGTTCCGGCATTATAGACTGTATGTACATCCCTCTTTGAATATGTCTATGTTTAAGGCCGCATTCCTGCTTGCATATTTTAGCCTCTTGCGAGTTTGCAAGTTCACAGTCCCCACGCGAGGAGCTCCCTCTTGACGGGTGCTGGCCAATACAGATATCAGTGGGGATCGGGGCTGTCACCCTACGAATAGAAGCGGGCACTGTTGACTTGTGCCCGCTGCAAGCAATGATATGGTATCTGTGTCTATACGGCCTGTAATCGCAGGCCCTCTGTTTATCCATGTCGACGGCACCCCCCTCACACGATACCAGCTTAGGGCAGTGCTACATAAGGCCTTAGGATATGTTGGACTTCAACCTACTCGTTTTGGAACACATTCAGAATTGGTGCCGCAACCACAGCTGTTTTAAATGGCGCATCTGCCACACACATGAAAAGAATGAGCAGGTGGCAAAGCAACCT